TCCCCCCTCCTGGTGGAAGACAAGTTGTGACTTTTTCACTCCCACCAACAAGCTGCCTGGCTTTGGGGGATGCAGCTGCTATGGGATGGGAGGGGTGCTCAGAAGATTCAAATTCCATCTTTCCCCTGTCCCTGGTCCTCGCTGGGAAACTTGTAGCTTGCCCATGAAGCATGAACATAGCTGTTTGTACCCAAGTCCACAAGGAAGTCCCTTCTTGTAGGGGCACGATGGGCCTGAGGAGGAGTCAGAGGTCTGGCCCTTAAATAAAAAGACTGTTGTCTACACCTTAAAACGCTTCCTCATATTCCAACAGAGTGTCAAAGAGAGTCAGTAAGGGCAACTGAACAGAGGCTGTGGCCTCGGGCTTTCTTTGAAAGACTAAATTCAGTGCTGTCCCAAAGCTAATGGCACACATAAGGGACATACCGTAAAACCCTGTCTACATGTAAACTCCTCAGCCATATGGGCTAAGAAGACATCAATACCAGCCCTTCATGTCATACCCTGTCAAATCTAGACAACTGTGTTACATCTAAATTTGCTTTCTGATATTGGTGGTGATGGGACCCAGGTTCCCCCTCTATTCCAGGTCTTCCCTGACCCCTGCTACTACAGACCTGTGTTGGCATAAAGAAGGGTCAATAGCAGTGTGTGTTCTGCCAGAGGTGACAGTCCCAATACCATCTGCTTTCCTCTTTGTTCGTATGGGATATGTTCCTGCCCCCCCCCCCCCCGCCCCGCCTCTCTCTCTCTCTCTCTCTCATCATCTCCATGGGCCAGAGACCTTCAGAAGTGAGGGATGTTCTCCATATCCAGACATAAGAAAATGCTCAGTCATTAGACCTTCCTTCTTCTGCAGTTATATAGAATATGCCCTCGAGCCCCACTTCCATGTGAATATCTAGCTCTGCTTCCTTCCCAGATACACCAGAAGTGGACATTCCAATTCTACAGCCAGGGAGGCAGATGCTCTCTTAGGTTTTTTGTTTGTTTTTTTCTTCAAGATAGTAACAAAAGAAGATGCTCACCACTCCCTTATCCTTGGAAGCAGTCTATAACCAAGGTGAACTTGAAAAGATAATGAGGGAGGAAACAGAAAGAGCCTTTGTGTCCAAAGAGGCACGGTGTACTTCAGCTTCTGAAAGGCTAAAGTTTGCAAAGTCTGTAGGACTTGTTCTTTTCCTCCCAGCCTCTTACCTGCCACCTTCCCCAGGCCTGTTCCCCATCCACTCCCTCTGAGCATCACTGTCCCCAAACTTCTTTCTAAGGTGTGAGCTGATAACCCATTAACATGCCTCCCCACCACACCCCTAGCCCTATCCACACAGGAAAATTTTATAGGAACTTCTACTAACTGGGATTCCTCCAAGGACTCTAAATTATTCTCCAGAGAATTACAAACCTCCTGAACAACAAACAGGGAGACAACTTGAGCATTCTAAAAAGTCATGCCTTTTGGGAATGTACTTGTTCAACCAACTCTTGAACCAAGTACCATACTCATTTTTGCACGTTTCCTTTAGCAGACCATTACACCAGAGCAGAAGAAAGTCTACTCCTTTAAATAATCATTTCCACTGCTCCCAAAGCCAGAATATGCCTTGCCAAGTGTAACCCACATTCAAGAGCCATCTGCTTTAGCAACACAGGAAGCCACCAAAGGGGTGTGCTTTCGATAATCCTCCAGTTCTGCTAGACGAGGCTGCTTCTGGGGAGGGAAGGAATGCTGCTATTTACCAGCCTCGGGCCCACGCTCAGCCCTGCTGAATCCTGTACAATGCACCAAGCAGAACTAGGGCAGAGGCCAAGGACTTGGTCAACCACAGACCACTTTTAACACACCCAGATTCTAATAGACAGATGCCAAAGGAGTCCCTAGGGCAGGCAGCTCACCCTTTGTGTGGCTCGCCCACATCCCCACTTGAAAAAAATACAAGGAGGGATGTAAAAGCTGTATCTACCCAGTGCCATCCACCAACAAGTCATGGTCTCTGCCTATGGCACCTGAGGCATGCATTTGATTTTCATTCAATGAGAAACTTGCTGCACCTAGCAAACACCATAAGCAAAGGTGGTAGAGCCATCATGACCTCTGGGGGTGGGTATTCTTACAGGATTTAAAGATATTCCCTAGCCTGTGTCAAGAATTTTACTAAGCAGATTCCTCTCCCCCTGATCCACCACCTGCCACAATGACCACCAGCTCTGTTTGATTGTTCTCACCTCTTGGGAAGATGTTGTCCCTCAGTGCCCACTTTTGAACCCTACTGGAGGTGACAGAACTTAGGGCATGATCTCGCCAGACTGATAGCTTTTCTCAGGCTCTACAAAAGTAAGCTATGTCACCTCCTATTGGACATGGGTACTTGCCCCCAGGCCCTTAGAAATCATGCACCCTGCTTCATGACCCTCCTCATCCAAAACCAGAGCAAGATCTTTTACTGCAGGCAACAGATTTCTAAATTCAGCCACCTGAGTCTGCCGACAGCATTTTTTAGCAAGCATCTCCAACAGAAAAATGACACCAATTAAGCACAATTATTAGGATCTAATAGAGCCATTTTTCTGCCTCAGTGCCTTTTTGCTATTTCAAGCCACACACCCCCCCCCAGTTTTTTCTCCCTAAATTAGGACTCAGAGCAGTACGTTAAAGATATACATTGGTAGATCTTTATGATATGTACAATAACTGTCTTATTAAATTGAAATCAAATGCACATCTAAGGGAAAATTCATTTTAAGTACCAACTCTCAGAAAAATGCTCAGAGACATAATAAGCAAGGCAAATGTGTTGCTGAGCAACAGAAGGGATTGGGGGCAGGAACTGAGCTGAAAATGAAGGGACAGTTTTCTGAAAGAATGGGGTAAGCTCAAGGGTACAGATCTTGGTAGAAGCTGCCCTAAATTTATTGTGGTCCCTCCCCCAAGAACAAGTATTAGGGAGGGGGGAAATGTAATTATAAATTAAACATATTCATGGATGCTTGGAAAATTGTTATATATACACATACATTTTTCTGGGGAATGTTTTATACTCTGTCAGTAAATAAAAAGCCTTTCTGGCTATTATGAATGTTAAAGAGGGTGTTGGGGTTGAGTGTATGTGTGTAAAATGCTGTTCAATGGTCTCTAGCCTCTTGGTTCACTTTACTCTGTTCCCCTCCCCCCTTTCCCTCCTCCTCTTCCTAGGACAAGACAAGCGCTCTGAGCCTCAGCAATGTGGCAGGCGTGTTCTACATCCTGATCGGAGGACTTGGACTAGCCATGCTGGTTGCCTTAATCGAGTTCTGCTACAAATCCCGTAGCGAGTCCAAGAGGATGAAGGTGGCATCGTCTTCCCAGGCCTTTTTCCACCTGTTGCGTCATACAGCCGGGTTTCCCGGGAGCCCCTCTACTAGAAAGGGTGGGAGTAACAGGAGGTTGAGGTCAGCCCAAGACTGGGTGCAGAAAGCTGCTATGAGGAAGGTGACAGGGAAAGAGGCAGTTGTGAGGAAGGAAGGAAGGAAGGAAGGAAGGAAGGAAGGAAGGAAGGAAGGAAGGAAGGAAGGAAGGAAGGAAGGAAGGAAGGAAGGAAGGAAGGAAAAAAGAAAAGAAAAACAGTAAACATAAGTCCCCTAAGAACTAACCACTTCAGCCATAGATCGGTGGTAAGATTAAAAGTTAGGAGCTTAAATGTACAGTGAACACAACATGAGGCAAGAGTGATCACTACACAGGTAGATTCTTGCTGAACTTGCATTAACAGAAATGTAGCTCCCAATGCAGGGGAGAGGGTGTTCTACCCTCTGCAAAATGGACGATCTTACCATGCTTGGTGAATTGGGTCTTTTCTTTGGCAAAGAACATCATGCACAGAAAAGGGTAAGAAGATTAATTAGACAATCCCAAACCACATCAAATATAGCCAAAGGCAACTAACTAGAGAAGAAAAGAATTATGGAGGATATGAAAATGATCTATAAAAATATGAGGACTTTCAGGCGGGAAAGAAAACAGACTAGTTCTGTAGGGTCCCAAACTATACAAGAACTAATGACCAAAGACTATGGAGAGCAGATATTACCACAATAAGGAAGATCTACTTTTCTTTCAGAGTTTTCTGAAAATGAGATGGACTGTCCCAATAAGTAGCATGCACCCCATAACTGGAGGCATACAAGTAAAGGCTAAATAACTCTTGGGAAGAATATAGATTCAAGTATCCGAAGGGAGTTGGATTAAATGTCCTTCAAGGCCGCTCACATTTTATCATTTAGCTTCAATAAGAAAATATGTATAGAAGTGGTAATCATGTAAACAAAACCATGAGCAAGACATCCTGAGGAGGCAGAGAAGACGGAGAGGAAACCTGTGACCTTTGGCACCTTCAACAAAGAATGACACAGAAAAAGTACTCAGTGAAGAAACCTATAGTATAGATAAGAAGGCCCATAGCTATACAGAGGGAAAAAAAATTTAAAAAGTCTTCCAGGAAGAAGCAGAAATTGAGGAAGGACAAGTGGGATTCAAACCAACAGAAGTAGAGAGAAGGGCAGTCACTCAGAGATATGTACCCTAGGCTGTTACCTTGGCTTGACTAAACTAAGAATATTTATTAGTAGAATTTCCTCTCCTAGAATGCACCCTAAGATGCCCATTTTACAACATTCAAGCACTCCCAAGCTCAGCACACCCACTACTGAGTCATGGCCATAGTCTTCTGCCTAGCCCCTCCCTGCTTTGGGCCATCAGCTCTTTACTTACCTTAGAGAAGACATTGCTGAACATCTACTTCCCCTGCTTGGAAACTCTCTATTCAATTCCACATACAGAGACTGGAAGTTGCGGGGGGAGGGTCTTCTGTCCTGGCATTCAGCATTTCCACATCATGGCTCCAGCCTACTTTCCCCTCTCAGGCAATCAGCTTTTCTTACCTACTCCATGCTCCAGCTGCCCACCACAAGGTTCCCAGTCATGTGCATACTTCCCACTTTTATGTAGGCTGATGCCTCTCCCTGTCTTCTGCCCCATGTGGCCCATTGAAAAGGCAACTTCCTTAAGATATAATGACAGGGACAGTTAAGGGATGGTGGCGTGATGGTATTTGGCCAGAGGTCCTAGAAACACCTCAATCCTAACTTTGACCAGCTCACCCGCTACCAGATTCAAGGACAACACACAGCAAAACCATTGGCCTTAGACCCTAAAGCCCAGTGTAGATCCCCAAGGAGTTTAGTGAAACACAATGAGGTCTCCTAGAACCTATACAAAGATTTCTTTGCCTATTACATCCAATATATAAGACTAAAGACTCTTCTAACTTACTCTCCAAAGTGAGGAAAGGCCACTTGATAGGGAATGAGGGGAACAGGAGAAGAACTGAGTGAGCTGCAATCCTTATAGCTCCCCAAAATCCTCCCCATGGACCATAACCCAAACCAGTGGCTCAGGATCGCCCAGTACCCATCACAGTAGCACCTTCTCACTGCTCTGACCCTCATTTTGCACAAAATGGAGCCATTGGTAGATTATATAAAAAGAATGAACATAAAGGGCTTGGGAAAATGCCTGGACCATAGTAAGTCCTCCATAATAACAATGGTAACTGGAATTTATAATAATATTTCTTATTATTATTAGTGGCCAGTTACAGCCTTCTTAAGACTTTTCCTTTTATTGCCACTACTTACATGTCCTGGATTTTTTTTAGCTATATAGATTGTGAGTTCCTTAAGGTAAGAAGTTGTGTCTGATTTCCCTTTGGACATCCCACACACATAGGGAAAATATTAGTAAAATTCATGGGAATTGTATCTGGAGGAAAATTTTTCTTGGAGAAAAGGTAAGGGAAGGGAAGAAGCTACTGTTATGTTAAGCAAATACAACCACCAAAACCACCTGGCCTGGAAGAACAAACATTATCTAAGGTGGTTTAAGTCCCATCTGTTTGTGCTCATAGAATCTGATGAGACCAGGCATCCCCCAAGCAGGAAACCTCTTGGATTTTCAGCCTTTGCTATGGGATTACCATGGTCCATGCCAAATAGTGGTGCCAGGGTGATCAAAGACTGGGATCCTCTTGAAACTGGACTGTGTAGACCTTCACCACTGAAGTTAGTCTTCAGGTTAAGACAAGAATATTTAGAACTAGCCACTGAGTCATGCCATAACCTCTAGGAGGCATTCTCTCCTTTCCCTTTACGAAGAAGATGTTGAATTTCTTAGAAGCCAACATCAGAATCTCTTGGAATAATTAATCCAAGGTCTTTCACCACAGTCTTCTATAACTAATTCCATTGGTTGGCATGCCTTCAATCTTCCAATTGCAGAAAAGATACTTCTACTGTCTTTATTAATCAACCCAGCCCTTAATTTTCAAAGCTTTATCAACTCCTCTCTTACCCAAAGTAGATAAGTGGAACACATTCTGCTTGCCTCTGACCTTCCTGCTTTGTAGTTCTCTTTATTATTCTATACTTTGCCTTCTCCAAAGGCAGTTAGCTCTTTGTGGAAGTGCAGCCTCTGCCCTGGCCAGTGTGGCTCAGTTGGTTGGGTGTTGTCCTGTGCACCAGGAGATTGCCAGTTTGATTCACAGTCAAAGGCACATGCCCAGGTTGCAGGCTCAAACACAGATGGAGGGCATGCTGGAGGCAGCCAATTGATGTTGTGCTCTCACATCAATCTCTCTCTCTCTCTCTCTCTCTCTCTCTCTCTCTCTCTCTCTCTGTCTCTATCTCTTTCTCTCTCTCTCCCTCTCTCTCTCTCTCCCCCTCTCTTTCCTTTCCCTTCCTCTCTCTAAAAATCAATAAACTATTTACAATAAAGAAGAAGTACAGCCCTCCAACCTCACCCAGAGGCCTACATTGATGTGTCAAGGAGTTTTAATGAGAACCTTCCTTCTTGTTTCTTTCTTTGATCACAGTATTTGGTGAACTCTTAAGACCTTGAGCCCCTAAACTTAGTCAGGGACAGCCTCCCATTTCTCAATAGTGTTCAAGGATCCCTTCCACACTCTGGATAGAAAAGCAAAGGAGAAGAAGAGAGGGCAAAAAGGAGAAAGAACGGAAGGAGAGAGAGAGAAGAAAGGAAGGGAAGAAGGGAAGACATCTTTTTAGTAACTTCCCTATTCAAAGTGCTTTATACATTTTTATTAATCTTGTAGTGGGTTGTGCTTCCAATCCTACAGTTGAATAAATAGGGGTTCAGAGAAGCTAAATAGCTTGTCTTAATGAGGTCATGCAAACTAGGAGCTGGAGGAACAGAAATTAGACCTCCAACATAGCTTCTGCAAAGCCTGGATTCTTGGTTCCAGCCAAGCCACTTCTAAATCACTCTCTCCTCCCCAACCACGTCAGCAGATAATTTGAGCACCTACGATGTGTCCCCTCAATTCCCAGCCACAGTGCACAGACAAATAACATGCAGCCCTTATCCGTAGGTTTTCCTATCCTAGTTGTTGAGGCCATCTATGATATGTAATCCTTTGCTTGTGCATTGTTGAGTTCCTTTCCCTTTGATGTCACATGAGCAGGACACAGAGTGTCACAGGGAAAATGCAAAGGGTACTCTGCCAGCATTTTTTCCACAAAGACACACCGAGCACCACTGTATGCTAGGCATTACTCAGCACTGGGGATACTGTCAGGGTCAACACAGACACAGCTTCTGCTCTCGGGACACTGAGAGTTTGATGGAGGAAACAGAAAATAAGCAAATACACATGTTCAATGAGTGTTATGAAAAAAAATGCCCACTGCTATCAAGTCATGATCAGGGAGTGGGGACCAGGGCAGGTCAGAAAGGCTTCCCTGAGAAGGTGATGTTGAACAGATGTGAAATATGAAAGAAACTAACCCGGGGAAGAGAATAGCTGGCAAAGGATGCTCAAGTACCAGGGACCCAAAGATCAGAACTCTTGCCCAGAAATCGGAATAAGGCCAGGGAGACCAGGATACATGTGAAGTATGAAAGAAACTAACCCGGGGAAGAGAATAGCTGGCAAAGGATGCTCAAGTACCAGGGACCCAAAGATCAGAACTCTTGCCCAGAAATCGGAATAAGGCCAGGGAGACCAGGATACAGGGTGACTGAGGGAAGGGAAAAATGCGAGAGTTGGGGACTCAGAAAGGGATTCAGGCAACCAGAATATTTGTGTATAATTTAAATTGTCATGTAGTAGCAAAAATATATAACCTAAAACAAATTTCAAATTGAATACATGCTCAGGTCCTCCACTTCTTCCCTCGGCCTGGAAAAAACAGACCAGAACCTGAGTTCTTAACTGATGTGAAGGACAACCAGGGTCTTTATTATTCACCACCTTGCTCCCAAAGGAAAATAATCCTCAGCCTCCCCCGCCCCCAGGAAAGCCACTGACCTTTCATAATTGCATGTGGCTGAGCTAACACGGGCCATGTTTAAGCCACAGCAATTGAGGCTTTGCACATTTCCGTGGAATTAATGAGCAGCTGAGAGACTGGGTAATGCAGGAAGGGGGTGGGTGGAGCATCCACCACAGCAGGGGTCACTCTGGCTCCTAGCACATGTGCAAGGATGAGGTCACTACTGAGGTTTGAGCTTTTGTTAGGATGTTCTATGCCTTGCAGAGGCTGGGCAGACTTTTCTTAGAAAAGCAAGCAGCTGAGAAGTCAGGGTGCATAAAATGAGTCTCTGAAGAACCAACTTTGGACTTTTCATTCACGCTGTTCTCCCTGGGTAACAATTTCAAAACAACAACTCTAAGGGTGAAATTGAAGAATAGCTGGTATGCCAGAAATGGGCAAGGGAGAATCACATTCCCCCCAAGGCAGGACAGGGAAATGGCATCCGCTTATGACAACTTAGCTACAGGGGGCAGGGAGAACCACAGTTAAAAGACACTAGACCTCATAACTGTAAGCTTAAGCGAGTCAGTCTTAAGTCCTCAGTTTCTCTGTAAAGTGAATGAAATAAACAAGATCAGTGTATTTCAACCTTGCTTGTATATTAGAATCATCTGGGGAGTTTTCAAAATTCAAGATGTCCAGGCTACCCAACACACCTATCAAGTCAACAGCTTTGGGATTAGGTCTCAGCTTCAGTGGGGTTATTTTCTCCAAATTCCCCAAGTGATTGCAGATGTGCAGCCAAGTTTGAGAACTAGTGATCTAGTCATTTTTAGCATTGCTTTCCATTCCAAAGTTTGGACTCTATTCATCTCTTCTCCTGAGATCCCATAAATGTATAAGAAAGGAAACCAGTAAGCAGGCAGTACCCACCACCAATAGGTGTATGGAGTCACTGACCTCAGAGAAGCCCTCAGCTTCCTTGGAAACCAATGCTCAATGACATGAGCTTAGAGGGTTTTAACCACATCAGGCTGTGTTCTCTCACAGTCTGAGAGGCACCAATCTTCTCCTTTACGATAAATTCAACAAGTACCACCAACTGCGATGGAATATTATGGACTGTGTGAAACCTTTTGAGAAACAAAGCCCAAGGTCATCAGTGTGAACTTTAAATTTTTTTTTTAATTAAAGGGATGTGGCAGAGAAAAATCATAGAAGATAGACATTTCAAGCTAATCGATAGACGTTTCCATGTTTTACAGACACATACAAAGTTATTTTCTTCTCAACATTTGTAGGTGAGAATAAGTAACCATTAATTCCTCATGTTTTCATTCACTTTTCCCCCATCGAGCATCACAGGGATACATATTTGGCCTTGACTTAGAAGAATGCAATCCAGGTCAAACTTCCTCTTCAGTAAAGAACAACCAATGCAGAATGTAAATAAATCAAATCAGGGGGTTGAGGATGAGACAGAACCAGTGTAGGTAGAGCATCATATGGGGCAAACTTGTCTGAATCATTGATTTTAAAAAGAAATAAAAATGAAAACCATTGCCAATTGCCAGCAATAAGAAGATATTCCCATCGAATATTGCAGAAAGAACAAAAATCAGGTCAAAACTGTCCTGTTTTTGTCTGCCCGGATACAGTAGGTAGACTGTTCTCTAGTGTGGCCACTAGAATCATAGCAATATGCAAAGGAGAAAGTCATAGAATTTTAAAGAAGGATCCTAGGTGGTTGGGTTTCCTTAGACAAATTCAAGAATATTGATTAAGCATCTAACTATAAGCTGGTCACTCTGGGAGATAGTTGAGGAATGAGAAGACATGGCTCTGGCCCCCTCCAGATAGTTAGGTCCCTTAAAGAAGGTGGAACATATATACCTGGAGCAGAACCATCACAAGAGAATGTATACTGGCTGAGTTCTAAGGTGAGGGGCAGTATTGCTGGCGCAGTCTAGGGTGGCTTCAAGAAGAAGGTGAGAACAGAATGCTTCTTCAAGGGTGAGTAGGTTTGTTCTTAGAGAAAGAAACCTCTCAACTTATAGACAATTCCTCTCCTTTAGGTTAATTCCCACCAAGAAACCAAACCCCTTCTCAAAAATTCTATGACTATTTTTTAATGGGAAGTTAGAGTGACAGGAAGAGATAAGGGTTTGGATTTCACATCATAAAATTTCTTTCTCCAAAGGAACTCGGAACAGAACCCTCCCTCTTGTCCAGTAGGTTTTAGTCCCATATTGTGTTCTTGAACATTCCACCTAACTCATCTGATCCTGGGGTGATTGTTAGAGTCCTTTTCATATCTAGAATTCCAACATTCTAGAAATCACAAAGCTTATTAGCACTGATCAGAAGTGCAGGTGATATGTGCTGATGGGAAGCACTTGACAAATAATGATCTTTGTTTGCAATGTGTTCACATTTTCTTTGTCACATGCTCCTTTCCAGTTACATTTTGCCTATTGTATTATCCAAATAAGTCCTACATTCCCTTAACACATGCTGGTAGCAGCGGAATAGCATTTTCCCTGAAGTAAATCGGAGACAGTTTTTTCATTTTAACCCTTAATTTTTAACATTTCAAATAACTTCTCACACAGTGGTATCACTCTTGCTAATAAAAATGTGTAGGTACATAGGAAATCACATTTTATAAACATGGAGATTTAAATGGTCTAGAGAGATAAGGAGACATGCACAGGGTCACACAAGTGGTTAATGTCAGAACCAGGACTAAGCCCCATTTCCAGAGCTCTTCCACTTGGTTCATATTGCTACATTTATTATCATCAGTACAATCATAGAACTATTCCACCTTTAGAAAACACAGAATATAAGAACCAGAAAGAACCTTAGAGATCACCCAGTCCAGAAAACCTCAGTAAACAGAGAACATAAGGTCCAGAGAGGGGATCAGATTTTCCAGAGCCAAGCAACAGTTCTGTGAGTTCATGGGAAGTCAAACTTAGCATTGCAGATTAGGAAAGGATGTGGATGGGGAAAAGGATAGGGGTGACATTTTAAGTCCGGTGTTGACTCATTCTCCTTGACAATCATTGCCAAGGACCTGGGGAAGAACCCCATGGTCCTCCTGAAAAGGGTTTCTGTTTGATCCCACAGCAATCCATCAATGAAGCCATACGGACATCGACACTCCCCCGAAACAGCGGGGCAGGAGCCAGTGGTGGCGGTAGTGGAGAGAACGGCCGAGTGGTCAGCCACGACTTCCCCAAGTCCATGCAATCGATTCCCTGCATGAGCCACAGTTCAGGGATGCCCTTGGGAGCCACAGGATTATAACTGGAGCAGATGAAGACCCCTTGGGGAGCAGGCTCAGGCTCCCCCAGCCCCATCCCAAGCCCTTCAGTGCCAAAAACAACAAAATGAAACGCAACCGCCACCAACTACCATGACCACAAGGATGATGATTCAACAGATTTTCCTGAAGAACTGAAAACCATTCTGCTATCTCTTTTCCTGTTTTGATGTTCTTTCACCCTTTTCCGTTGCTCAGTAAGGATGATAAATCACACTGCACTGCAATAAGGGGAAATAACCCTGTCTAATAGAGCCTGTGTCTCTGACAATGGAGTCACCAGAACACTAATGAGGAAACTGTACTATTTTCTTTTAATTCGGTTGTTAATGTGTCTTAGTGTGTGCAATTTTTTTTTTTACTAATATTCATGGTTTGCAGGTTCTGTTAGGCTCCTTTCTTCTCCTTACATCTTATCCCCAACTCCCTATTCATTCCTCTTTAGTTTTCAATTGGAGATTTAAGATTTTTCCACCTTAAAAGCAAGCAAAAGGAAAAAAGCAATCTTCAAACTAATTCACCATTGGAGCTCCCCAAGTTACCCTCCAGTTCATGACCCCAGGCCCTGGATGGAGACGGAGGCTGCTGAAGGAATGAGCTGCCTTCCCCAGACAGAGCACTGCCTAAGCACTGATTGAGTTGAGAGTGCAGGTGAAAAGCAACTCAGACCAAGGGTGGCGGAGAGGGCAAAGGCAGGTGTGCACTCAGAGGAGGACTCATGAAGTTATTGCTGGAAGCCCAAATAAAGCTTCCTTCAATGTGTAAGAGCCATTTCATAGGCCTTAGATGGAATGGTGTATTTCTTCACAGAGTCAACCTTGGCCCCAAGAAGTATGTCCTTCTGACTACGCTCAAGCCCAAAGGCACTCTGCTGGCTGAAGGGCAATTGGCCTCCTGAACCAAGTAGAGGCTTGGGAATAGCTGACAGCCAGGACGATAGCACCCATGATTCTCGCTTCTCATCTGCGTAACATCTGAGCAGGAGCCCCATTGAGGAATAGACTCTTTTTCTCTTCAGAGCCTCTGATATGGGGGGAAATGCTATGCAAGATAAATGCAAAAGAAAGATAATGAAAGAATTTTGGAAAGGAAAGCTTCATCAAAGCCCACAAGCAATAGAATCTTCCATGGTGTGCCCTCTCTTAGGTTTGAGAGGCTGAATATGAAGCATAGGGTTTTGCTGACCCAGGGAACTTGGGTTTTTATGTCCATACAAAAGTGTTATTTTAGCATGTGGCAAGATAACATTCTGTCATCTTTAGAAAGTAAAATACCCAAGACTAAATTACTTGAAGGAGAAAAGGGAGATGGATTAAATGGTAACGACATTGGGTTCTTAGAATCCCTGACCCCAACTCTTAAGCCAAGGAGGCAGACCCTCCCCCTGGCTAAGACAGAATGGAAATGTTATATTCCAGTGACCAGAATCAATACACCCAGGATTGTGACTACAAAGCTGAACTAAAGCAAGGCTGGAGAGGTGACAGGGCTCGTGGAGAGAAGCCCACGCTGACTGCAACTTTGGTTGGGAGGGTGCAGTTCCTAGTACATGGCTTTCTTGGAGATCCCAGCTCTCATTCTTGGTGCAATTGGCTCCCAGCTCTCCAGCAGCCATCTCCTAGGTGCATGATTCAGTGCGTGCCATGTGTCATTAGCTTTTATTGATAACCATATTCTGGCTTGTTCCCTTTCCCCCTACCTCTATCCAGTCTTCTACACTAGCGGTTATCATTAGCAACTGACAAACTAAAGGTTTCGGAGCCTGCCTATGAGTAGGCACAGCATGATTGATTTCATCTGTGGATTCTCTCAGTGGACACTCACCGTCTCTATGTCCCTCCCATTCTTCTTTCATCAGCCATAGCAAAGAACCATCCCAACATCAAACGCTTTGCCCTTTCAGCTCAAGTGCTGTTGTTCCGTCTCTCTCATGTCAACGTGGGCATGGTACATGAAGCAGGACCCCTCAAGATGGATGATCACTTTCCACTACTGTCAGCTGATGTCCTCCCCAGCCCCTGCCCTCTCACCAGATTTTTCTCAGCCCACTGCAGAATCTGGTATGGCCCACCATTAGAAAATCAGCATTTCAGAGGAGTTGGAAATAACCCTCTACCATCAATATGCTTCAAAGACCTTTTGCCTTTGGCCTGTTAGGATGCCTCTCCAGCTACGGAGCTCACCGATAACATAATCTGATAGGGAGAGACCAGTCATGTTAGAAATGAGGGTCTGTGCTTTGTGGGGGTCCAAGACTCCAGTGGAAGATGTTTGTCATCAATGGAGGAGTGATGGGGAAAACAAAAGCAAGAAAAAAAAACGTTAACTTGTATTATGTATTTTTACTACACTTTTCTTAAAAATAGAGCAATGGGAAAACTCTGAAAGAGATTGACATTTTTCTCAGCAGGAACCCATACTTAACAGTTCTAGCTTTCATTAAATTTTGCTCTTTGGTACCTGGGCCTTTTATTTAACATCTACATTTGTTTTAACTCTCTTGGAAGATGTGTGAAAGGACTTTTGCTTGATCAAACACTAAATATATTTTTGGTTTCTGTTGTGTTTTATTTTATTTTTCCAAGTAGCCAGGTTTATTTTTTTTTTCTTTTGGTATTTGCATAAACTGAAAATATCACCGAGAATTAAATCACTGTGGATCCATTATCTACTTTTCATATTTGTTCATTCCATTTTTGTGCCATTTCTGAAGCCAGAGCCCTAGGGCTTATGCGATTTCCTTATTGCTGAGCCTGAGTTTAGTGCATTTTTTAATGGTGGCCACTATGCGTGACTCACAAACAGACTTTAGACAAGTCATTTCAGCTAAACTAAATCATTGTGAGTTGTTCATCCAAATAGGGTAACAAACAAACAAAAAAAGACAGTGGTATTTGGTTTTCAAGGGCTATTGTTTCAATTGCATAAGGATCCATTTGCATGGTCGCAGTACCTCTAGGGAATTGGTTGGCTCACAGGGAATGTCTCCCAGACATCCCCAAACTGGAGTCCGGGTGTATCTGTGATGTGCACAGAGTCACAAGGAAAACCAAATCTAGACTGAGCTTATAAATTGATAAACTTGGTCCTCAGACCACGTGACCCTCATTGTTGTCTAAAAGCTTTTGTTTTACTCAAGAAAGATGGAGTTATCAGGGGTGGGGAATGTCTGGCCTATAGGCTGGCCATATAAGGCTAACATCACACATCACACCAAATTAGCCTGATGAAATAGAGCAGGCTAATTTTTAAGTTGATAATTTTGTATGGCCCACTAATGATGTTATAAATATCCAAATAGCCCTTGGAAGAAAAAAGGTTCCCCATCCCTTTGAACGGATCTGACATTTGTTGACACTTAGATATGGAACAGCTTCTAGTGTTTTCTTTCCCAAGGAACTTTGCATATTAACAGGGGTCAGAAGTTTAAAATGAAGGAAGGAAGCTCTAACAGTGACATTTCAAGCAGCAACTACCATGGTCGAAAAGGGTTGGGGGAAGGGAAAGAGCTGGCAGACTTGTGTGAAGCTCTAAGCACTGCCCACTCCCACCTGCAGTCACCTCCAGCATCTATGGAGACAGTGAATGAAGAAGCACTTAAGACCAGCTGACAGGAGGAGAAAACTAATCTCTGTCACCTTACCATCAGATAGCTGGGATAACGACCATCATGGCTATAACAGCACTTACTCTGTTAAGCACACATAATACCTTTTGTATCATGACAATGGCTCTCTGAGGTAGGGCCTTCCAAATGAGGACCTTGGATGTAAAGACATGACAATATGCTTAAAATCCTGTGACAGAGCCGTGATTTGAACTGTGTCTGCTTGAATGCAAAGCCTTCATAGTATCCGCCTCTCTGTTAACCAGGTCATGATGCATGATGGTCAGGAAAATAATAGGTAAACCGTTCTTTATCTTCCTGTTATGCCAAAGTATCTGAAAATGGTTAAAGCTATACTTGTCACACTTTGGGGAAAGTCAGGCTATCCTCCCAGGGCATAAGAGATCACTAATCCAGACAGACTTGCACAAAGAGGAGAAGAAGAGAAAGAGTTTCTTTGGCCCTTTTAAAATAGATCCAGGCAAGGAGGCAGCAAGAAAGATGGGGGACTGAAAAGCGGGTCCCCTGCAGAATAACTGATTCAGCCTGGGAAAGGATTCTCAGGGTGTCTTGGGGAAATGGAGATATTGTTCTGTGTGTACAAGACCAGGATCCAGTCTGGGGTTACAGGGCAATGCATTTAGGGCTCAGCTAAAGACAGGATTTCTTAACAATCAAAGTTTCCCCATAGAACTATTAGACTAACCCTGAGGTTAGGACAAACCCCAATCTAGAAGACACTGCAGGTGTGAAAGTTGAAATACATATAACCTCTCATTTTTTTTGTCCTTCATCTTTTATAGCCCTATTTAGGTTATCTGATTAGTAGCACTCTGATATGTACTAAGAAGGGGTCATCAAGACCCTACAGAAATGGCAATAGATCTCTTTCACTGAAATAATCTCAAAAATCAACTTATCTTATCCTAACTGAGAGACAAGATGGCAAGTTATTTTCTTACCAAATGCTAATGTTCTCTCTATGAAAGAATGTCTGTGGAGGTCCACTACTACCCCACTTTCCAGAGAAGAAAATTGAGGTTCTTGAAGAAGAACCTACTTTCCCAAGATCACAACATGAGTAGAGAAGCAATGTGGTATCATGGAAAGGCCACCAGATTAGGGTTCACAATACCTGGCTTCTCCTCCTGTTTCATTTCAAACTTGGACAAGAAAAATAACTACCCTGAGCCTCATTTTCCTTATCAAAGAATTGAGACATCTGCGGTCAAAATAGGCAGTGATTCTCTACCTTAACTGCATACTAGAATCGTCTGGAGAAGCTTAAACAAAATCACCAACTCCCAAGATACATCTCCAAATATAGTTTGTCTCAATTCAGGCACAGTTGTTTTATTGTTGCTTTGTTTTGTTTTGAACAATCATGTTATTCTAATGTGCAGCCAGGATTGAGAGCCACTACATTTGGGCCATCCAAAGAAAACGCTCATGAAAACATCTTTGGAAATCACAAAGTGCTCTCATTAGAGGTATTTGACCAACACCAGAAACCAGGCTACCTGATGGCAATCAAATCTCTGTGCTCCCAAAGGAGAACAAGCCCTTACATTCATCTGATAACAGAGAAGGAAAAGGACACATCCCCCGCTTGGACTCTAAACGCTCCTTTACCTTTAGGCATGTTTGTGATAACATTCTGTTGGGGGCAGACAGAGACACAGGGCAGTAGAAATAAAATGCAATTGTCAGCGGTACCTTCTTAGGAAAGGGAGGGTTCAACCTTGTCAGATGAGCCAGCCTTCGACACAGCCAGTTATTTTCCCAACTACTTGGTTTTTTCCATTAGAGTCGCCAAATCCCACCACCTGCATCCATTTTTTTGTTCAGATAGAGTGGGAGGGAGAGAGAGGAAGAGAGAGAGAACCATCGACGTGAAAGGGACACATCGAGTGGTTGCTTCCCACACGACCCATCCAGGGCTGGGGACAAACTGCAACCGAGGTATGCCCCCTTAGCAGGAACCGAACCCGGGTCTCTCTGGACCACAGGCCGATGCTCTAACCGCTGAGCCAAACCAGCCAGGGCCCATCACGTGCATTTTTAATAGTCGCAGCATTTCTCAACCTGTGGGTCGCAACCCCTTTGGGGGTCAAATGACCCTTTCACAGGGGTCGCCTTACATAGCAGTAGCAAAATTACAGTTATGAAGTAGCAACAAAAATAATTGTATGGTTGGGGGTCACCACAACATGAGGAACTGTATTAAAGGGTGGTGGCATTAGGAAGGTTGAGGACCACTA